CCTAAATTATTTGCATACAGCTTGATGAAAGGGCCTGGTTACATGGCTCATATTATTAAATGTGTTCCTACTGAAGTTACGCTTCGTCCAACCGAAAATTGTTATCTTGAGTTACCTGTGCTAGCGCAAAATCAATCTATGTATTTGTCACCTAAAACCCATATTTTGCTCAGCAGTGGTACACCAGTTGATTGCAACCCTATCATACCCATTATGTATAAAATTAATGGAGGTTGGATTAGTTTCACGCCAAAACCTGCTGCAGTACTATCTCCACAAACCTTAGAACCAATGATAGAACCTGTCTGGAAGTACGTTGATGCTGAACATCTCGCCGAAAGCGGAATTTACTCCCACGACAACCTCAACCGGTTACGAGATCACATCATGTTCCCTATAGAAAGCACTGCTCTTCTCAATACATTTTCCAGGGGCGCAGCTGGACATCGTATTCCTACATCAGGAATATCAATCTCGAATTTATTTGACGAAGACAGTCTCAACAAATTAAGCGACACCGTTAGCCAGAAATTATGGGGGAGCTTTATGACATTCGGCACTGCAAGTGCTGGAGTTATCGGCATATGGATAATAATAAGACTAATAAAACTGATTGCAGGTATTGCAATACATGGATATGCGCTACACTCGGTATACGGGTGGAGCCTACAATTTTCGCCTCCATCATAAACTTCTTGTTGCACTTGGGGAGACGGAATGTTCCAGTATCATCCCCAAAACCAAATAAGGAGCAATCTTCTACTGAGCTAAGTGTCAGAATGGATACGCGACCCTTGTTGCCACCACCACCGCCGCTCCAGTAGCTAGCCAGCTGTACGCAGAACCACACAACAATTCGATTAATCTCAGCAGACCAAAGTCAAGACCACCAGTACCTCCGCGGAGCACTATACTAAAAGAGAACACTATTGGAAGTTCTCCATTACAACACAACAACAACCTGCAACATCGGACTCTACATTGAACAGAAAATAACGTAACTCTTCTGTCAGTTTCTTTTCATAAGGAGGGGGTGTAACATCCCACCATATTAAAATTCCCTATCTTCTCACCAAAACTCACCATATCTTTTCCTACCCAATCAAATCCTTACCTATCATCGACTAATCCAACTGCAACGCCTCCTACAAATACCTCTGCAATCAACAGGTACCTCTGCCGTCTTTTATCGTTAATATAATATAATATAATTAATACTCGAAACTATTTAATAAATTATCATCTATCTTCTTCTTTCTCTCTCTTCTTTCTACCTTCTTGCTTCGTTTAGTAAGCGATAGATTATCAAACAACTAAATAACATAAAAATAATACTAAATAGCATACTTTGAAATAAAATTAACATTAACATAGGACTGAAGCAGACATCGACATAGTAAATATCAGGTGTAGTAAAAAGAAATCCATTATTTTTCCAATAGATGGCTTTAGTTATCTGTATCTCGCGTTGTATAAGTCCGATCGGGTTCCACTAGATGGCGTTAGAAAGATGAGATTTCGTAGTAAAAAAACTTTTCTGGCAATTTTGTAATTAGTTGACTCAGTTTTGTTTGAGCGCGCGTCAAAGATGGACACTAGCAAAGAGAAAATACGCTATATTTTACAGTTTTTCTTCGATAAGGACGAAAACGCAAGCCAGGCGGCTGAAAATGTGAATAGTGTTTATGGTCCTGATATTGTAACAGCCAATCACGCGCAATTTTGGTTTCGTCGATTCCGTTCCGGTAATTTCGATGTCAAAGATGCACCACGCACTGGAAGGCCAATTGTCGAAAATATCGATAAAATCATGGACATTGTCGAGTCCGACCGTCATGTAAGCACTGTTTCGATTGCTCAAGAGCTAAAGATTGCACAAAAAACCGTTTGGGACCATTTGAATAAGGCTGGATACAAAAAGAAGCTCGATGTCTGGGTGCCACACGAGTTAACGAAAAAAAACCTCATGGACCGAATTTCCATCTGCGAATCGCTGCTGAATCGCAACAAAATCGACCCATTTCTGAAGCGGTTGGTCACTGGTGATAAAAAGTGGATCACTTACGACAACGTCAAGCGAAAACGGTCGTTGTCGAATCGCGGTGAGCCGGCGGAAACGGTGGCCAAGCCAGGATTGACGGCTAGGAAGGTTTTGCTGTGTGTTTGGTGGGATTGGCAGGGAATTATCTACTATGAGCTGCTCCCCTACGGCAAAACTCTTAACTCGGAACTGTACTGTCAACAATTGGACCGTCTGAAGGAAGCAATCGCCCAGAAGCGGCCAGCTTTGGCCAATAGGAGAGGAATTGTGTTCCATCAGGACAACGCTAGGCCACACACATCGATAGTGACTCGCCAGAAGCTCCGGGAGCTTGGTTGGGAGGTTCTTATGCATGCACCTTATAGTCCGGACCTGGCACCAAGTGATTACCATCTGTTCCTGTCCATGGCGAACAATTTTGCTGGTGAAAAATTCGCTTCAAGAGAGGCTTGTGAAAATCGACTTTCTCAATTTTTTGCCAATAGGGACGAGGGCTTCTATGAGAGAGGCATAATGAAATTATCTTCAAAATGGCAACAAGTTATCGAACAAAACGGCGCATATTTGACCTAAATCGGATCATTCTAACTATGGTAATTAAAGCCTTCAATTTCATGCAAAAATAATGAATTTCTTTTTACTACACCTGATATATAAAAAAGGAGAGAATAAGGAAATTTAAGAAATAAATTTAGAGCTAGCTTATAGATTCATTTGTCTCGGGGACTAAGAACGATTTCGTTCGGGCACAGCCGCGCACATATTGGAATGTGTTTATGTTATAGATATCATCGAGTGATAGCTGTCCCACGTACTGCGAACCAAACAAAGACCTGAAACAAAGACTCGAAGAGGAAAATAATTTCCTCTCTTTCTTCTATTTTTCTTTTTTTAAATAATATTAAATAATTATCATCATATTTCGCAAATAATTCTTCATATATTATTGTCAAACCGCCTATCCTAATGTATATGCACTTTAGAATTGTAAGAGGATCTATTCGTATTATTTAACTTTAACGATTACTACGCCCGAATGAAATAATTCTTTTAATATTCAAAGTTTCCAAATTCTTATATTATACCAAAGGAAATCAATAACAACATTTCCATTTCTTAGTAAAACAATTTTATTAATAAATCAGCTAACAACAAGACAATTGAATTACCAAACACTACATATGATTAAGTATAACTTTAATTACTAGATAATAACATTTTTATATTTTTTAACTAATAAATAATGAATGGTGAATTAGGAAAAGACGCTCAATTGACATCCATAGTTTCGGGCTTGGGTATAAAAAGGGCTCGGCCCTTCGCGCGCAGGCAGTCTCTAGGCAGTCTCTCGTCAGCCTCTGGGCAGTCTCTAGTCAGTCTCTAGGCAGTCTCTCGGCAGTCTCTTGTTAGCCTCCAATTAGCCATCAGATAGTCTTTCGCTGAGCCTCTTGTTAGCCGATTACCAAAGGGTCTTGAGTCTGGAATCAAAAGGTCGGTATTAAAGATTATTGTTCTTGGGACTCCGTCTGCAAATGCTAAGACGTTAAGATGTAAAATCCAAATCATATAATCCAGGCACGCTCGACCTGCCTGTTTTCAAAACAGATCCATCAAAATCTTCGGCCCCGAGAATAAAATCTGAAATAAAGGGAAATATATTTGAAGTTAAATTCAACAGTAGCGAGAATACTATTATTTTTAAACCTAACAGTAACCCACCTCCAAAGGCAACAGATTCAAATAATAAAGATTTGGACAAGAATAGCGCTGATCCGAAGTAAACCAAACAAATCTAGACATTGCATGTTCTATGCTTGTCCAGGACGTAACACTGCTTATTGCCATTGTAGACGACGCTTAAGTTTTACACTGCTGAAGTAGTAAACTGAAAAAATAAATAAAACGTACATATGTAAATATATTGTGATGTGATGTGTAATTAAAATGAAAATAAATAAAAGTCAAATAATAATAAGGTGAAAAACTTATATATAAATAAAAAGATATAAATAAAAATGAAATATGGAGAAATTATCCTTATAAAAAATTAATACTGATTCCATAATAAATCGGCGAGTGACAAATTACTGTTGCTTTGTAATTTTATGACTTTTGTAAAAATAAAATAAAAGTACTGAGCAACAATAATCACTCACTAATATATCACAGCCAGAGAGAGAGAGAGAGGGAGAGAGAGAGAGAGAGAGAGAGAGAGAGAGAGAGAGAGAGAGAGAGAGTATATATTTTCTAGGAAGATATTATATAAATAAACAAAAGTGAATTTTCAGTTTTGTGTCGTGCCTAGATAAATATAACTCAATTTGTTGAGGTTTCATTCTTCGAATTGGAATTTGTCATCGCCAACTGGAAAATAAAATCTGTAGGAAACGATGGAAACATGCAAAGGAGAGGATAGAAAGTAAAATGAAGGATGGACAAGTGTTAGATAAGTAGCTAATATTCTAAACCTGTACCAACGTATATTATTTATGTCTCAAGGTTCGTCTATAATAGCTATAAAAGTAAGGCTGTAAGGCTGTAATGTAAGCTGTCGGCGAATGAAAATATTTCATTTCGTGTCTTACAACCTTACCGCCTTACTCTTACAGCTAATGTAGACGAGCCTTTAAAGATGCATGAATATGCAATACAAAGTATATATTTTTCTAGAAAGATATTATTATATAAATAAACAAAAGTGAATTTTCAGTTTTGTGTCATGCCTAGATAAATATAACTCAATTTGTTGAGGTTTCATTCTTCAAATTGGAATTTGTCATTGCCAACTGAAAAATAAAACCCGTAGGAGACGATGGAAGCATGCAAAGCAGAGGTTAGAAAAAAGTAAAATGAAGGATGGACAAGTGTCAGATAAGTAGCTAATATTCTAAATCTGTACCAATGTATATTATTAATGTCTTAAAGATGCATGAATATGCAATACAAAGTATATATTTTTCCAGGAAGATATTATATAACTGAACAAAAGTGAATTCTCAGTTTTGTGTCATGCTTAGATAAATATAACTCAATTTGTTGCGGTTTCATTCTTCGAATTGGAATTTGTCATCGCCAACTGGAAAATAAAACCTGTAGGAGACGATGGAAGCACGCAAAGGAGACGATAGAAAGAAGTAAAATGAAGGATGGACAAGTGTCAGATAAGTAGCTAATATTCTGAACCTGTACCAATGTATATTATTTATGTCTTAAAGATGCATGAATATGCAATACAAACATATTATGCTATTTATGCGAGCATTATAATTTTAGATATTGGATCAATTCTTTTTTCCGATTAATGTTTTTGTTTCAGCTTTAGGAGGTATAATGTTTGTTGAAATGTTCCAAAGGATTAATTCATAACAGAAATAATCCAGCCACCAAAGACGAAAATGATGATTGACCCAGCCAGCAAAAGCAAGTCTGATGATTGATCCGTCCAGCAAAGGCAGAATCTTTGCCAATATCTTAATACCACAACAAATTTGATTGTAAATACTATAAGAATAGACGAAACAATTATTACAGTTAAGAAAATAAATCAAGGAATCTTACAAGCCTTTGGTGTTATACATGTTACATTTGCATGTATATTACGCTTGTTATATGAGTATATTACTTCAGGTTAAGTTCGATATACGTAAAAGATATACTGCAGGTACATAGATGCATATTGGGCCACATCGATCCTATTGAATTGTTATCATTTTTGTAGGACGCAGACTGGGATGTGATTGAACAGCGAACAAGTCATCAGGTTGCATCCACCAGTTAAGTGAGTACATTTCTTTTTCTTCAGTTCCGCTGATATATTTCTCACGAGTACCGATCTCTGAAAATCATTTTTCATAGATATGCAGTTGTCGTACAAGCTGGTACATGTACATCCGAAGGAAAGCTCCCATATAAGCGACTGGTTACGTCAAACCGCTGACCGACTGCGAAAATCAAAAAGTGTATGAAGAAGGAACCAGAAAGCTGTGTGTACAATATATTTTGATATATCGTAGATTTATAAACATATCCGTCCGATTCGTTGAAACGATAATTAAATTAATATCTTGTTATGCTCTTTAAAAGTTGTTAATTAATTTTAACGCGAGCCCGTGTAAATACGAATCTTTGATATTGCTCTATATGGTAGACTTTAATTTATAATATTCAATTTATAATTTTTAAGTGTGCATGTATACGCAAAAGCCTTTGATATTATAGCATAACGGAATAATAAAATAATAAAATAAAATTAAAATATATTAAAATATATTTATTGATTTCTTTCTTTGTTCCCAACGAACTGACTCAACTTATTTAAAATTAATAACGAATCAACATTTTGCACATCTTTTCCTATTTCACGCTAAATAGTTTTTAAAGCAATTTTTTCTCTGACTTTCGTTAATTTGATGATTTTGAGATTTCCGAAAGTCAGTAAGTTAGTAAAAGTCAGAGCGCTGTTGTATTGTACAACAGCGCCCTGTTATATGTTGTACAACATATTCTTGAGAATAAATAGAGCAAAAAAGTCTAGTACCACTTTTTCTTTCGACAAATAGGTAGCGAGATATCGCAAGTAAAATATTGAAAAAGTTGTCAAGTCTTTCTTCAAATATGTCAAAAAATATTAAGCAAATATAAAAATGTTTCAAGAAAAGTAATGATCAGTGAATATTACGAAAGTGGTGCCATTGTAAACAAAATGATATAGCTATTTTACATCTCCCTTGAAATTATATAACTTTTGTTCGACACATTTTTTCTAAAAAGCTTGGTTTTCGAGATATTTTACCGCTCCGGGACTTTTTCTTCACCGTGTATATATATATATTGTTACGTCTCAGCTCCTATTTTTCCTCCCTTTTCCTTATTTCCTTTTTTATCCTTATCGAGCGGTACATCTTGCAATCTAAACTTCCGGTTCTCCCCTCCCTCGTTCGATATGGACTAGGATTATATTATGTTGACATTCGTAACGGCGACCTGTAATTGTGACTAGCATTTTATTTTAAGTTAATGCGTTAGCTTTAATACCTTTTACTATTCTTTTGTATATAGAAAACCTTGTGTTAAATTTCCGACACCGGCGTGTGTTAATTTGATATATCGATTTTGGGTGATACATTATATGTGCTAGACTCAACATATGAATTGTGTTACTCTTTTCTGTTTTCTTTCTTTTCGGCACTTCTGTTCTATGTTAATTTGACACGTCGTTTTCTACAGCGCGCGTATGCTTTATCATTGCTTACGTAGTCTCAAGAATAACAGCCCGGTTGCGCGAGGGCTTGGCTATTATTTCTTACTATTATTCCAAATTATTTTTATCATAGCGGACAGACTATGCAGTTTCCCCATCTCTTGCTTCTTAACAATAAAAACAAGCACTAAGTGTGGGAAAGTTGTGTTATAACCGTTAACAACTTTTCTAATCGTTATCTTTATAACTCTGCAGTATAAGCATTGTGATTCTACGAATCTCATAACTGTTTTGCGACAGCAGCACGGCCCAGCTTCGCTCTCAGGAATCTCGGATGGAAGACAAGACATACCGCGTCGTATTCTCCACCTTGTTTCTTTCATCCGACATCTCGCTAAACTTTACGTATTATCCGGTTATTAGATCAAAGCGTTAGAAATGTAGTGTAAAGAAGTAAAAACCTATCACTATAAAATTGTACTACCCCCGTTTGCCACTCTCCGTTAGAATTATTAAACTTGTTGCGCTGAATTCGTCAGGAACGCTTCCTTGGCCTATCATTGTATCGCGTCGTACCTAAATTCGCGATTGCCGCATTATTGTCCACCCGCGGTTAACTATAAAATTGTAAACGTTTTCACCCTAAGATAACCGAATTGTTTAGGCGACACTTTGGCGGGGTTCTTATCGTTGTTGCATCCGGAGATCGAGTAACTCGCGTCGCGAAGAAGGACTCCTCACGAAGAAGGACTCCGCGGCCCGTCGGCGAACCGCCCGCTTCTTCACTCTCGTTGAGGCCGTCACACGTTTCGGACGCGTGCTCACAAGTCTCTCCTTAACTATTGTACTTAGAGAATCTTCAAGTTCCATCATCTCGTAACGCTCTCTCATATTCTCATATATCTCCTTTCTTTTTTTCTTTTTGGTTCTTTCTCATTACAATTGTTGCAACCAAGTGTATTCGTGACTTCAACCAATTTCACGATCTTCTTAATTAATTCGTACAAGAAAAGACAGACACGACTTTCGGAAGACGGGAGTGCGATATCGCGAGCGTTCGACGTTCCGTCATCTCAGTTGGGAGGAACGCGGGCACGTACGAAGGCTCCTTCTTCCGTTCCGTCGGACGCCTAAATAGTGACGTTCCAGCCATCTGATAACAGTAAGCCTCTCGATATCCAAGTTAATAAACAATATTTGTCTTCCTCTATGTCGTTCGATGTGTTTCACAAACCGTGTATTGTTCTCCGTACAGGGGCGCTTTCCTCATAGTCATACCCACGTTATCAGATAAATTCTATTGAATCCAATAAAATTCCACGGGACGTAACAATATATTGTGACGTTTCTTTCGAAGCGCCGACAAACCACCGTCGGTCCGTGCGCCGCGGTCTTGCACCAACCGAATGTTGGGCGCCAGGTGCAGCGGGCTGCACCACTCACCAACGCGAAGTTTACCCGCGGCGCGCGAATCCGTCGGGTCCGGTAGCTCGGGATTGATTCGAGTCGGCAGACGGAAAGGGTTCGTCGGAAATCGGGAGGCGGAACACACTAAAAGGGAAATAACCAAAACGGCCTATTTGGCGAGACTTAAATTTATTCGTTAATACCGGAAGACGGTAACCTCCGGCTCCTCGCGATACGGTGCACGTGAGTTCGTTTCCAGTCGCTCCTACGCGAGGTCGATACCGCTCTTCATATACAATGCGTTTTCACGGGACGCGACACTGAACGGTACACCGGAAAAATAAATGGCAGGTGGACGGTCTTACAGTGACGGGAACCTCCCGGCGGCGTAGTCCTCGATGGTTGACGGGTCGGTCGGTCCGGTCACGCGGCCAGCGGCAGCTCGGTCCTCTCCGGGATCTTGGCCTTCGAGAATTCACGGCCCTCCTCCACTTTCCGGTAGCGGTCGGAACTCCCACTCTCCTTTCTCCTTCGCACGCGGAACACCAAGTCTTCTTTCTCTCTTGCGAGCGGCACACAAATCTTTCTCTGGCGAGCGGTACACAAATCTTTCTCTTTTGCGAGCGGTAATTCGAATTCTTACTGGTTCGAGGCCAAAAGCGAATCCGCTTCCTTTCTTCGAGGCGAGAAACTCACTCTTCATCGAGAGAGAAAAACGGAGCTTCCAGTCTCCCGTTTTTTTCCTGTTATTCCTTTTTCTTTTTCGTCCGGGAATCTTTCCGCGAATTCTGTTGACAATCCGCGGAACGGATGCCATGTCTCGCTCGCTCTCTCTCGGTCTCTCGCTCTCTCTCTCTCTCTCTCTCTCTCGCTCACGGCGTCTCGCGAGCGTGGCTCTTTGTCCGTCTAGCCGTTGTTTTTGGCTAGCGACCCATGCGTCGAGAACGTGCTCGACGGTATATTGCTGCTTCGTCCTTGTTGTCGTGTTAGCCTGTGGAATAATACACGGCAGCGGTAATCATTGCGGAATAACGATAAACTTTCTGCGACGAGACGAGAAAAGAGCGCATTCACCTGAGCTGGCCGCGCCGGGCGGTGAGCGACGTCCTCGGCATCCTCCCTGGTCTTCCTGTCCGGGTGGCCGGCTCGGGAGGTCCATGGGCACAAATCTTGAGGACGCGAGACCGTCGCACCTGCACGCTCTTAATTCTTAGGCCTAATTACTTTGGGGGGGGGAATCGGTTTCCCTCCCCCCTCCCCCCGCAAATCTCGCGTAAGGACCGAGGGTTTCTCTTGTGACGGGCGCCCCCACGGCCGCCACGTCACAATATATATATATATATATATACAGGGTGTTTGATAGCTGATCATGCAGACGAAAGTTGGAGATAGATTGGGTGTAGCCGAGAAGAAAAGTCATGTACCATAATGTCAAATTGGCAATAGTTACCGAGTTATTAATTAAAATATATGAGGCAACGAGCGCGTAGAGAGCGGAGGGCGGCCACGGTAAGCACGTGGACATTTGATACAGGCGGAGTCAGTGAGTGGCGGCAGGCAAGCGCGCGCGGCGAGGGGCAATGTAAGCGACAAGAGGCGATTGCGCGCGACGAGGAGCGAGCGAGCTTTTTATTTATAGCTTTTTCCTTATAGCTCGCTCGCTCCTCGTCGTCGCGCTCGCTCGCTCTTCGTCGCGCTCGCTCGCCTCGTCGCTTGCGCTCGCTCGCTCCTCGTCGTTCGCGCTCGCTCGCTCCTCGTCGCGCGCGCTCGCCTCTTGTCGTTTACGTTGCCCCTCGCCGCGCGCGCTCGCTTATCGCCACTCGCTGACTCCGCCTGTATCAAATGTCTACGTGCTTACCGTGGCCGCCCTCCGCTCTCTACGCGCTCGTTGCCTCACATATTTTAATTAATAACTCGGTAACTATTGCCAATTTGACATTATGGTACATGACTTTTCTTCTCGGCTACACCCAATCTATCTCCAACTTTCGTCTGCATGATCAGCTATCAAACACCCTGTGTATATATTGTTACGTCTCAGCTCCTATTTTCCCCCCTTTTTCTTATTTCTTTTTTTATCCTTATCGAGCGGTACATCTTGCAATCTAAACTTCTGGTTCTCCCCTCCCTCGTTCGATATGGACTAGGATTATATTATGTTGATATTCGTAACGGCGATCTGTAATTGTGACTAGCATTTTATTTTAAGTTAATGCGTTAGCTTTAATGCCTTTTACTATTCCTTTGTATATGGAAAACCTTGTGTTAAATTTCCGACACTGGCGTGTGTTAATTTGATATATCGATTTTGGATGACACATTTTAAGTGCCAGACTCAACGTATGAATTGTGCTACTCTTTTCTGTTTTCTTTCTTTTCGGCATTTCTGTTCTATGTTAATTTGACACGTCGTTTTCTACAGCGCGCGTATGCTTTATCATTGCTTACGTAGTCTCAAGAATAACAGCCCGGTTGCGCGAGGGCTTGGCTATTATTTCTTATTATTATTCCAAATTATTTTTATCATAGCGGACAGACTATGCAGTTTCCCCATCTCTTGCTTCTTAACAATAAAAATAAGCACTAAGTGTGGGAAAGTTGT